TAATTTGTGAAAGAACAGGTCGTTCTAAAGAGCTCACTGAATTTGAGAGTGGTGCTGTAATAGGATGCCACCGTTGCAACAAGTCAATTTGTGAAATTTCTTCCCTCCTAGATATTCCACAACTAACTGTGAGTGGTAGTATTGAAAGTGGAAGTGTTTAGGAACCACAGTGACTCAGCCACAACGTGTCAGGCCACGTAAAGTCACAGAGCGGGTCGCCGAGTGCTGATGAGCATAGTGCATAAAAGTCTCCAGCGCTCTGCTGAACCAATAACTGCAGAGTTCAAACCTCCTCTGACATTAACATCAGCACAAAACTGTGCGCCGAGAGCTTCATGGCATTTCCATGACCGAGCATACAACATCAAGCACAATGTCAAGTGTCAGATGGAGTGGTGTAAAGCACTGCTACTGGACTCTGGAGCAGTGGAAACGTATTCTGTGGAGTGATGAATCAGCTTCTCTATCTGTCAGTCTGATGGACGAGTCTGGGTTTGGCGAATGCCAGGAGAACGTAACCTAACTGGATTAGGGATGATGCTATGGGGCTGTTTTTCAGGGGTCGGCCTAGAACCCTTAGTTCCAGTGAAGGGAAATCTTAATGCTTCAGCAAACCAAGATATTTTGGACAATTCTGTGCTTCCAACTTTGTGGGAACTGTTTGGTGAAGGTTCTTTTCTGTTCCAGTGTGGCATGGCTGGGTGAGTTTTGTGTGTGGAAGAACTTGACTGACCCTCACAGAGCCCTGACCTCAACCCCATCCAACACCTTTGGGATGAACTAGAACAGAGATTGTGAGCCAGACCCTCTCATCCAACATCAGTGTCTGACCTCACAAATGCTCTTCTGGATGACTGAGCAGAAATTCCCCACAAACACTTGTAGAAAGCTTCCCAGAAGAGAGGAAGATTTTTTAGCTGCAAAGGGGGACCAACTTATTAACACCTAGGGATTTAGAATGGGATGTCATTTAAGCTCCTGCAGGTGTAACGTGTAGGTGTCCCAATACTTTTGCCCATATAGTCTATCTTCATCGGTATAATGTTGATTTTGCCTTTGAGACCTGAGGACTGAACAGGACCTTCCTTTTGAATCTGTGCGTGTGACGTTAATAGGTAACGCACATGACAATACATGAGATTGAGATTGTTTTAATCGTGTATTACTTGCTGTCCCACACTTGCTACCGCATTCTCATCGCATGTCTGGAAGCCTCTCCGTTTCTCCACAGCAGGTGGGCCAGGTGCCCTGTGTGACGGATGGCAGAGAAGCGAGCCAAGAGAGGCGGCCTGGCACCCACCACAAGCACATGCTGCTGCAGCCGCCGCCACGTTCACGCCGGAATGCACACCTACACATTGCAAGAGCGGCTGTTAAAGAGCAGCTTTGTCTGAATGAACTGCTTTAGTACAAGCTGCCTGTCTCTCCTTCTTTCTCTTTCTTCAGCTTCCTACTCTGGATCAGCCGATCCGATTTGGTTTATCTCTCTAACACAGTCTGAGTGTTTTTATTCTTTCTTTTATATGTTTAAACTCACTGCAAAGAACTGCATACAAAGTTGAATTAATACTACAGTAGTATTTTTCCAGCACAGAGAAATATTTCAGACTTCACCATTACATTTCTTAAGGGACCCTTATCATGGAAAAATACACTTTTCTTGCTTTGTTTTTAAATAAAAGAGCCTGATGCATTATGCAAACATAGATCTCACTCTTACTCCCGAGTCCATATGGTCCATACGTGCCTGCTTGTAACTCATTTATGTTTGTGATGTCACAAAAACACCGCATTTACACATACGACCACTCAGTCTACAGCAGTTTAGCCCCACCCACTCACACCGAAGTTCCAAGGGGTGTTTCAGCCTGGACTGCCTTTCAAATAGGCCTTAATATAGGGCAGCCAATCAGAACAGAGATCAAGATGTACAGGAGAAATTTAAAATATGGCCTCTTTTACACAGGACAAAGGTCTAAAACATGATTCTCAGCACATAAGAGATTGCAGAGGCTGCAAAAACAAGGACGAAGGGAAAAACACCCAACAGCACAGAAACACTTGGACGACATGCAGACTGTTTGAAGTCTGGGAGGGGCTGGAATCTGCACATGCTAACGTACACTGTTTCAGAAAAAAGCACCATCAGGGAAAAAAGGTAATATAAATGTGTGACCACAGACCACCCATGGCTTTTTATGCTGTTCAGCGCAGAATCCTCTGAAAAATAGAGGGGGGAAAACCAAAAACCATATCCTCTCTATTCTCCCCTACAATGAAGCTGTGTTAGCGCTGAGAACAGGATGCACAACATTTCCTGGTAGCTGACCACTCCCCTTCTGTCCGAAGCTGACACAACAGTAGAGAGGGAGTCAAGACCGAGCAGAACACACTTAAGGAAGAAAGGGTTCTTCAAGGGTTCTTTAGTAAAGGCAATGGTATGATTAACAATAGCAAATTAATAGATGGTATTAATGTAATGGCATATGTTAGCGATTAGAGCTATGACAACTCGAAGAACCATTTTAATTCTGCGGAAAATTGTTATTTTTGTGCGTTACAGTTATTTCCGCAAGGTTATGATGGTCAGTCATTATATTTAATTATTATTATTATTGTTATTATCATGTATAATCTGTACAGTAGAGAACTTATGCTGTGGTTGCCTCCACAAGGTTATGGTGGTCAGTTACTGCATTTTCTCTCTCATCAAATATTATTATTATTATTTTTATCATCATCATCATCATCATTATTATTATTATTATTACCATCATTATCATTTATAAATCTTCATGATGGAGAACCGGTGCAACAGTTGCTTCTACAAGCTTATGAGAGTCTGTTTTATTCTCTGTTTCATCAATTACAATTATTATCATCATCATCATCATCATCATCATCATATACAATCTCCATGATGGACATCCTTTATCATATTTCTTTAAATAACCTTTTAGAAGTGGTTCTATAGCCCTCCAAAAGGTTCCACTATTGTTACAGTAGTGAAAGAACCTTATCTACGCATTATACTCTATACTGTTAAAAAGGTGCCACAAAGGGTTCAAGTGATGCCATAGAGGAACCTCTTTTGGTTCCCGAACGAACCATGTTTGAAAAGCCTTTCAGAGGTTTTAAAAACAATTTTATTAGATTTTATTCCAATCTACATTACGTTGAGGTTCTCTAAACTTTTAGAAAGGTCCTTCAGGCACACATAATCTCTTTTACAAAAATGGTTCTCCAAAGAACCAGCCACTGAACGGTTCTTTAGCGAAGCAAAAGTGGTTCTTTTACAGTATCTCTCAAAGAACTCTTATAGACACCTTTATTTTTATGATCTTTTTGCTAAGAGGCTGCGATCCACACCTTAACCTGAAAAGACATGAACCACTGAGCACCGCTAAGCATTTACCTTCCAGCTCCGCCTTGAACAAACAAAAGGAGGCCAACGCTGTGAACTTCCATTTCCAGGATCATTAACTTTTGCTTTCTAGGACCACTGAAGGACTTGGGTTTGGGTAGGACTTTAAAATGGCGGGACTCTTTCCCAGGAGCAAATCTGTGCTATTTGTGCGGCAGCAGCTGGCGTTCTTTTCTGTATACATACAGCAAGCTTTCTATAAATGCTCCTTGGCCACTTTTCAGCACTGCCTGAAACTGTACACCTGCTAATTGGGACCGCCACACTAGTTCATGCAGGTAGTGGAATACCAGCCAGCGTATAAACGTCTGAAATTCCCCCGGCTCACACGGACCACTTACTGCGCATTGCATTCTGATTCTGAGTCGCTTCACATTTCAATCCTATTTTTGTGTTACTAAACTGGGAGAAAGATACTGTACTGTCACAGTATTTCTACAGTGTGGACGGTTGACATACAAGCAAAAGGACTTTGAAATAAATGCACAATGTTTACAATATAAACACTGTATCTTTGTTTAGCAGTAGCCATATCTAAAGGAAACTGACCTGCATAAAAGTTAATAACACATTTTAATATGGTGCTTTATGAGAATCAGCGTCTCTTATAAATGGGTTCCTGCATATTTAGATGGTTAAAATGCAAACAAAGTCATTCAGAGTGGCTTAATATGAAATGCTATCCATACTATAGAGATCTAGAGAAATACACCCACCCAGAATTGTTCACAGTGGTGGTGATAGGAACCAGATGTCTGAAGAATTAAAACACCTCTAAAACCTCTCTCACAGAACGCAGGTATATGAAAAGGTTATGAATACACTGCCTGATGTCTGAGACATTGTTTTACAACACTTTTAAAAAGGTTATGGCCTAAAACATGTTCTTAAAATCCATTATCTCAAGGACAGCAACACACAAGGCATTGTGAAGCAACACAGTCAGCGAAGAAGTTCATTTTTTCAGATTTACCATTAACATTATACAAAAAACCAACACCATATGCGTCCTTATGCGGCTTAAACCTGCCTCAAACGAACCTACAGCCACTCAGGCTCTTATTTCTGGCGACTGTCATTATTAATAATGGCTTATAGACCCAGGGACCCCAAGTACGGAGACTCTCCAGGGTGCTGAGGAACCGATGGCTTCTGAAATTTGCATTGCGGACATTTGCATGGCTCAAGCACCATATAAACGGTCAGATGCTTTATCAGTGGAGCAGCCCAAATGCTTGAGAGAGCAATCTGTTGCCCATGAACAACATTCAATGTAACTGATTTGAATAGTTCTAGCTAAAAAGAAAGGGTGTGTTGCCTGTGCTAGAGGAGGATATGCACTACTACTTCATGTTCACGTCGTACAGATGAAAAATAAACAAAAACATACACATTTATCCATATTTCTGAGACTTTTCCTCCCACTGTCCCTGTTGCTGCCTGCAATGATACAGCAGCATTGTATGCAACAGCTGCTGAACCAAACCAACCTGCTACTTCAGTAACGACTTCATACAAGCCCACTAAGACAGTGTCCTAAAATTTGTACTTTTTACGTAAATTATAAGACACTCACCCACTCCAGAAGCCGAATAAACCCCAAAGGCTCCTTCACGGGTCCCAGGTCAAGTCTGAAACCCGACATTAGTTTCTGGATAGAAAATAAACACGACGCGATTAAAACACGCTTGGTGTGGTTGCATATGCTGAAGCTGGTTTCTTATTCGCCAGCTTGTTGTTCGAATTTTCCCGTTCCACCTTAAATGGTATAGTAGCTACATTCTGGCGCCTCAGGCTCAGAATGTGACTGCTGCACCTTTTAAGGTGGAACGGGAAAATTCGAACAACAAGCTGGCGATTAAAAAGCTGACTTCAGCTTCGTCTGTGGCTAACTTGGAGAGCTAACCTTCTCGTCTGTGACAACTTACTTTGCTTTATTCAACGTTATTTAAACGTTAGTTTGAGTAAACGTACAGTATCTGAACTCAGTAACTTAACGTTAACTTAGCTACCAGGCTAGCCAGTTAGCACTAGCAAACACGCTAACGAACTTCGCCAAAACCCAAACTGAATTACCTGGATAAAGTCCATGGTTTTAAAGGTTATCTTATACGCTGATAAAGACGAGGTTGCTTCCCAGGATAGCGGGTCGGGTTTAGTTATTTCTGGAGGGAAAAGCTGAGGTCAGTTCTTGACATTCAGGCTGCGGGCGGTGTAAGCCAGAGACGGAGGGAAGATCTGTGTCGGTTAACATGTCAAAACTTTCTGACCTGCGGTGACTCACGTGACGCAGAGCCTCTCTTAAAGGGACACGCACACACTTTCTCCTCCAGCTTCAACTCCCTCCTCCATCTGGTTCTTCACATTAAGGGTTCTTTGGCAAAGGCAATGGTTCTGTATAGCTCCATTCATGCTTCAATGGGTCTTTGCATGGAACCTTTCTGATAATGGTTCTATATAGCACGAAAAAGGGTTCTGCTGTTGTTACGATGTCGAGCTTGTAACAATAGCAGATCCTTCTTTGGTGCTGTGTAGAACCATATCCAACACATTCTCCATAAGTCTGAAGGACCATTTCACCATGTCACCATGTCAGAACCATTTAAGCGTGAAAAGGTTTTTTGAGTGTTCGAGGTTCCGTAAAGAACCATTGCATTTATTAAAGAACCCTTGAAGAACCATATTTTTTGAGAGTATGGTATAAACGTTCTCCTACAATTTAAACTTTCCTAACTACAATGCTAAATGTGTTGCATTAGAAATTCAAGCATAACAAACTATACAACTAAACATCACATACTGTTATTATTATTATTAATAATAATAATAATAATAATAATAATAATAAATGTATGTAGGCATAATAAATAAACAATTGTAGTTGTATATATTCTACTACTAAGACTGCTGCTAATAATAAAGATGACGATGATTATTATTATTGTTGATCTTGTTTAATGCTATAGTTATAATATATTTTCTTCTACAACAATAATACTAAATGTCACGTTAGAATTTTAATAAATAAATAAAAAAATAAAAATGAATTAATTATTGTAATTTTTATACAAATACCACTGATACTAATACTAATAATAATAATAAAAAATATTATACATCTATTTGTGCTATACATGTGTTATAATAACATCAATACTACTACTACTACTACTAATAATAATAATAATACGAATTATTATTATTATTATTATTATTATTATTATTTACACACATGAATTCTAAGCATCACTAATTTAATTTGTAAGGCAATATTTTGTTAAGTAGTCTTAAACCTGCAGCTTAAAAGATATTCAAGTCTGTGTTGATTTAAACCTGAAATCAAAATGGACATTTTTGCTTTTTTTTTTATTCATGTCTTTGGTTTTACTGTGAAAAACTCATCATTTTATGTTGTTTAAAAGACAAAATTCTTGTTTTTCCCACAGAATGTAATGATTTTTGCCCATTTTTGATCGCAGTGTTTGATTCTGATTACATCACTGTGCACCAGCAGGTGGAGAAAATCAGATTAACCTGTATTATCACGTTCCACCTCCACTCCCTCCACTCCCACCTATCACTCAGCAGGCTCAGCGACCCCCCACCACGACCTACGGAAATGCATTAGGATTTCCCACTCACGTTTTAAATGCAACTAAACTGCTCCACACTAATTTGATGCTTTCCAATGCTGATGTAGATGCTTTCCAATAATATATCACACAGCCCAGAGTGTTGATTTGTCTTCAGCGCGATCGCTGCACTTTGGCTCGCCACAATAAAAAGTTTGTGCACTGTGGGAACCATAAACTTCCAGGTGCTGTTGTTTCTCCGGACCGCTTACAGAAGCCCACTTCCTGCACTGTTGAAAGAAGCAGACTCACTCTTCAGCTGCAGGTATGTCCGTCTAAACACTGTTATTAGCCCCGCGCTGTAAAGCCACAGCCAACAGGCGTCCGTGTACAGTCCGCTGCGTACCAGTGCTTTTATTCAGCCCTTCAGAATGAGCTTTAGGAGCGCAGAGTTTTCCCAAATAAAGCCGAAGCCGCTACCGCGGTGACTCACTGGAGTTCTGAGTTCTTGGGTTAGCATGTTAGGCTAACTGTGTTTTGCGTGCTTATATTTGCAGTTGTCGCTGTTAGAATCGGCCAGCGTGTGTAACACCGAACCTGTATGTAATTTCAAACTGCGTTATTAAATAAAAGTGTTAAAATGTGTGTTATTTCTCTAATAAGCTCTTATGAATGGAGTGATGATTTAGCAAGTGCTAGCTTGAATGGGAGCACGCTTTGTGATTGACGGAGCGTTAAGCCAATCGGATGAAGGGAAATCCCCGTGGCCCCGCCCCCAGCCTCAGAAGTACCCAATCAGCTGAAGCGATGCCTCTCTGATAGGGCGACAGCTTTCCCGCACGGTCAAGCTAGCAGCGCCGCTCAGCCTCTGAACTCGAGTAGTATTTTTTTGTCAAGTTTTGTTCTGTTTTTGTCTTTTTTTCAGACATTTCTTATTCAGGATGTTCCTGACAAGATCAGAATACGACAGGTAAGCAGTAAGACTCTGTGTACAAACCGTTAAAAGTTACTTTCACTTTCAATTTGGACTCTGATCGTGAGAGTCATTAGTTGCACAGTCACGTTGGACGTGAAGAAGTTGGTGCGGTGTGTTGTTTATAATCACATATTTCTGTCCCCAGAGGCGTGAACACTTTCTCACCCGAGGGAAGACTTTTTCAAGTGGAATATGCCATTGAAGCCATTAAGGTATCATAAGTTGTTGATGTGCAAATGCCCATAATTTATGTGTGCATGAAGGGATTCAGAAAACAGTTACATTTTTAGTTACATTTTTAGGAGAAGGCTTTTAGAATACTTACCCACTAAATAAAAAAAAACAATCTTCAAAAGAAACACCATTGCTTTGTTTAACTATTTTGAAGTCAGCACATGGTGTGTAGTAGACATGCTTATTAGACAAACTTTTTTGAGAGATGCTCAGACTAATAATCTCCTATGTAGCGGACATGTTTGATAACCTTAGCACCAGTGTTGTACTGGACTCTTGCACAGGGTCTTGTGGAAGCAGCGGTGATAGAGAAAAAAAAGTTCTTGAGAATTTTGGGACTTCATTTAAACGATGAGCAAATTTTTCATGAAATGTATTGACAGAAGAATTAGATGAAGTGCCAACCAGTAACTGCAAGGAACAGTGTGAATTAAGTAAAACACAAAAGTTTTCCACTGTGTCTTACAAGATGTAATATAAATGTTTTCTGAATGTGTTATTTTTAATGTTTTGTAATGAAATACGTTACTGAATACATTTAGGACATCACTACTGTGTATATGAAGTTTTTCTTGTGCATGTTGTTGTTGTTGACAATATCTTCCAAGTGGTCTAAGTACTTTGTATTAAAGATCTTGCGCGCCACAGTTCTTGCAGCTTTATGTTGTTGGAACGCTTCTCTGATGCTTGCCTGCATGTTTTTGCAGTTGGGCTCCACAGCCATTGGCATCCAGACGTCGGAAGGAGTGTGTCTCGCCGTGGAGAAACGAATCACCTCGCCCCTGATGGAGCCCAACAGTATCGAGAAGATCGTAGAGATTGACTCCCACATCGGTAAGGCATCTGTTATGTTCATTGGTTGCTGTTATAAATAGACAAAAATAAATGAGGAGTATTTTAATGATTTAGTTAGGGCAGTGTCACTGCATCAGTAGTATATTTTATATGTTTTTATTCTACTATGAAACACTTTGAGCTGCAATCCATGCTTTAGGGATATTGTGTAATAAAGCTTATCATTTTTATTTATATTATTGTTATTATTTTTCAATTAATGCTCTTAGTATGAATAATATTGGTGTTATCACATTGATTTTTTTGGAATGTCATGCTAGTCCACATTTCAAACACATAAGATTGTGTTGGTGGAAAAAATAGTGCTGGATCAAAAAAAAACCTATCACAAATGTAGAAAAAAAAGTCAGATTACCATAAATTGCCTAAATGTTTAAAGGGTTCATGGCAGCACTGATGTGAAATGAGTCTGTGCTGTTGTTAGGCCATCGAACAAACATTTAATCAAATGTTTTTTTCTGTAGTAACAGTATGTACAATTTATTGAATAGAAGTATACTTAAAATGCTATTTTGTTTTTGCATTTTGACGTTTTTCTCTATAGGTTGTGCTATGAGTGGATTGATAGCCGATGCCAAAACGCTTATTGACAAAGCGAGGGTGGAAACACAGGTTAGTGCATTTATTTGCCAGTTAGAATAAAACAGCTAATTTGTATCAAATTCTAATGCTGAGTTGCTGTACAATCATTTAATGTGTCTGCATGACTTTCTCTTTTTTCATCTACAGAATCATTGGTTCACCTACAATGAGACGATGACGGTAGAGAGTGTGACTCAGGCGGTGTCTAACCTGGCTCTTCAGTTTGGAGAGGAGGACGCAGACCCTGGTGCCATGGTAAGACACATAACAGGCCTCCACTGAAATTCAAACAGTGTTGGAATGCTTTGGTAAGGATGGCAAAGTACAGAGACACTTTATAGACTGTAGTGTTTACAGACTCCTCACAGTTCACTTTAAGCACATCTGCTGCTGAGGTTCACATGTGTTTACTCATGACAGCAGCTCATGTTTAGTGGAGCACAAGCTGTCCTCCATATTTCAAACCGTTTAGACCAGAAACACGTGAACAGTTGCAGAGTTTTGAAGAAGATTATGAACAATAAATTATGATTTGTATAACAATTCATTCAGTTGGTGTAATTTGCTCAAGTTTGACCTGAATAAATAATGATTTCCATTTAAAAAGCTTATCACAAAATAAGCTTCATCTGAATGTATTTATTACATTCAGTAATTCAATAACATTATTTACATCATGCGAGTTCACATGAACCTAAATTCAGGTGATTTCCACAAAGGGAATACTTTCCGATTTTCATCACAGACAAGTGACCGCTATGGTGGCTGCCTGTTCCAACCAGTACAGTCATGTGCAAAACTTTTGCATCCCTGGTCAATTTACATATATTTTTGTTTTTTTTATTTATATTTTATTTTCTTAGTAGAAAAAAGTTAATACAGTTTCTACAGAGAACGCACTTCTGCATATTGTGATGCACAATTATTGTTTATCTGCTGCATTTAACATTTAATATTGGAGGGGAAAAAAAAATGTGGCCTGAGCAAAAGTTATGGCACATTTTAATATGTTATTTTATTTTTCCCGTTGTACCTCCTCCACCAAACTCCTGTTACTGTTAGTGCTATGCATTCTGATAAGTAGCGTTCTCCTGGCATCTGCCAGGCATCAGACTGCCTGATAGTGAAGCGTGATTAATCACTCCAGAGAGCACGTTTACGCTGCTCCAGAGTACAGTGGAAGCATGTTTACACCACTTCAGCCGACACTTGGCATTGTACAGTTTGATCTTGGGCTTGTGGGTAGCTGCTCAGCCGTAGAAACCCGAAACCCATCTAATGAAGTTCCCAGCGCACAGTTGTTGTGCCGATGTTGCTTCCAGAGGCAGTTAGGAGCTCTGTAGTGAGTGATTCCACAGAGGATAGGATCTGTCAGCACTTTGCAGCCCCACGCTGTGAGTTTGTGTGGTCTACCACTTTGTGACTGAGCTGTTGTTGTTATAAGACACTTCCATTTCACAATAATAGTACTTAAAGTTGTCTTGGGCAGAAACTGACTTGTGGCAGAGGTGGCATCTCACGACAGTACCATGTTTAAAGTCACTGAGCTCTTTAGTATGAGCCATTCTGCTTTTAATGCTTGTCTGTAAAAGTGCAAGGCTATGTGCTTAATTTTATACACTTATTAGCAGCAGGTGTGACTGAAACGCTTAAGTTCAATATTTAGGAAGGGTGTCCACATACTTTTGGCTATATAGTGTATATCATATATACAGTCAATGGTTCCAACTCCTCTGTGATTGTAGTTTCTTGCTCTCATTCATGTAGCTAATGAATCCTTGTTTCAGTAGAGGCTCTTGAATAGAACTTGAGGTTTCCACTTTGATGCTTTTGTTAGTTTGCTGCTTCTTGATTCATCTAAAGTCCTCTCACGAGTGCAGTCCAGAATAGTCTGCTGAAGGTGCTGTATGTAGTGTTTTAAAAGCCACTTAAAAGCTGCATAATGAGAGAGCTACAGCTGCAGATTTTATCAGTTAGGTATAATTTCATAAACTCCTTCAATGTTCTGAAATCCTGGATTGTGCCTTGAAGAAGCAGAGTTGTTTATTGTTGAGTGTTTCATTAGTCGAGTATAAGCCGAGCCTTTAATGCTCCTGTTTTCTTCCTCCCTCAGAGCCGTCCCTTTGGTGTTGCCTTGCTTTTCGGAGGTGTGGATGAAAAGGGACCCCAACTGTAAGCAAACTCTTAAAGCAAAACGTTATATAAAAATGCATTGCTAATATTATAGATAGAGACCTGTTAGCTCTATGGAAACAAGACCATAGAGTGCCTTGAGTTCTGCTTCTTTTACTTTGAGAATATTTCAAGAAATACAGATCATTTGCATAAAACTGCCCAGAAGGCCTGAATGCTGTTTTTCTCATGATTTTACTACTACTTTGCAGGTACCACATGGACCCCTCGGGCACGTTTGTGCAGTGCGATGCCAGGGCCATTGGATCGGCATCTGAGGGTGCTCAGAGCTCTCTGCAGGAAGTCTATCACAAGGTACCTGCTTAAAACTTGTCACAGTCTACCGTACACCTTACAGGTCTGCACTTTCTATTTTAAGCTTGTTACCAAGCTACAGTTCAGTTTTGTTTCGAGTGGTGCTTTTTATGTGCAGTTGCTTGCCACACTTTGGACGTATAAGTGCACATCCTCTACAGAGAACACACTTCTGCACATTTTAATGCACAATTTTGGATTGTTTATTTGCTGAATTTAACATATTGCAGAAAAACAGACCCATAAAATGTGGCCTGCGCAAATATTACGCCATATTTTATATTATGTTTTATTTTGTTTGGTGAAACTCAGCAGATAAATAGAAAATGTGCAGAAAAATATATTAAGTTTGCTCCCTGTAGAGGACGAGTCAACCTTTCCAACCTTTTCCAACTTTCACTTGGAAAATCATCAAAACACCATGTGACTGTGGGTGTTCAAACTTTTTCTCACATCTGTACAAGATTAATTTGTTTATGACTATAATTAGCAAGAATACTTTTGAAACAAAAAGTATTAGCAAATTTGCAACCACAAAAGCTCATCCAAGGCAGTAGTTCTGCAAATATTTATCTTGCATTCAAGAAGTGGGTTTTCCTGGTCTGTACCATGCACTGCACATTGCGTTGTTTTCCTTCTTGAATCCACTTTAATGTTATGGAAGGGCTTGTAATTAGCTGATAAATTGGCTAAAACTGGTCCGGAAGGGGGTGGGCAGTGTGATGAGATTAAATGGTTATCAGGGTACTAATTACATCAAAATAAACTGTTTTGAGCATATCTTGGATGTTAGTTCACTGATAATCTGCATGGAAAAGTGGTTTGGCAGGGCTCCCCATAACATAATGAAACATTAAACATAAAACATCTTTTGGACAGGCCACATTTTTCCCCAGTATGTTAAATAAACAGTAATTTTGCATAAAAATGAGCAGAAGTGTCTTCTCTGTAGAGGATGCGTTAACTTAGGCTACGTAGGCTCACCACGTCTGATTTTTTAATTTTTTTATTTCTTTATTTAATTTTTTTTATGTTAGGCTTTTCGCAATATGTGCATGACCCACATGTGCAAATGAACAGTGCTTCCCATTGCGTGCTCATCCAGAGGTAAACAGTCCTCTGGCTGACAGCTGGGCTTATTCAACTAGAAAGCTCCCTGTAAAAAGAGCTCGTTATTCAGCCACTGCCTATTTGGTTCCCGTCCTTGTTTTGAACTTTGCTTTCAAATTTTTTGTTGACTCTGCAACCACATTCGGCCATTTCTTTTGAAATCTCTTCAAACACGGAGCGGTGGCGAAATTTAGTTTGTACAGAAACATCACCCCAAAATGTTATGAGGTTACCTTACTCTCCCGCCACTGAAATCCCACTAACTGTTGTCGTATGTCTTTCCTTCTTAGCAGCACGAAACTATGACGAATGTAGAATTGGATTTATGTAAAAGACACATGAATTCCAATCTGGCCATTCAGACTAAGGTTATGTTCACGCAGCAGGTAAAAGCGGCCCATATCTGATCTTTTTCTTCATATGTGACACAGATGTGTGTCTGTGTGTCAGTGTGAACAGCAAAAAACACACTGAATCTGACATTTTCAAATCTGACTTGGGACGCTTTCATATGTGGTACTGAAATCCGATACGTACCCAATATGCAGCAATGCGACTCAGTCTGAACAGCCAGATCGGAATTCGTGCGACTTTTACGTCAATCCAACTCAACGTTCGTCATAATTTTGCGCTGATGAGACCTCAAACATTTGGGCTGATGTTTCTGTACAAAAAATTAGAAGAGACTCATCCAAAAGCCTCCGTGTTTGAAGAGATATTGAAAGAAATGGCCGAACGCGGCCGTAGGAGAACGAGGCTGCAGCGTCACAGAACAGTTAAAAGTCTGAAAGCAAAGTAAAGAGTCTGAGGACACAAACCAAAGAACTGACTCTGCTCTTTTTACGGCGAGCTGAACACATTCTGGGTGATGAGCCCAGCTGTCAGTCAGTGAAGCTTTATGATGGCTCCTGTGACGCTGGCGAAGATGAAGCTGAACTCTCTGGGAGTGACTGGCGTTCGTTGGCAGTCATGTTTACCTCTATAATGAGCCACATGAAGCAATGTGAAGCATTGTTCTTTTGCGCATGTGGGTCAGTTTGGGAGCTGATCTGTTCAGACTGATGTTGCATACAGATCACATTTAAAAGATAATGTGAACAGCCAAACAAAAAATCAGATTTGGTGAGAAAATCCGATTTGGGCCACTTTTACCTGCTGTGTGAACGTAGCCTAAGCCGCATTGCTGCATATCGGATACATACTGGATTTCAGTACCACATATGAAGGTGTCCCAATTCAGTGTTTTTTGCTGTTCACACTGCCACACAGATAACACATTTGCGTCACAAATGAAGAAAAAGGTCAGATTTTGGTCACGTCTACCAGCTATGTGAACGCAGTCTTATTTTCATGTAATTTGACCAGGGGTGCCTAAACTTTTTCGTAAGACTGTGTCCATAGTTTTGCTAACCGTTTATATGTAACATTTTAAACAGTAGCCTTTTTAAACATGGCAGCACCTCTTTGCTGGTGCCTTATCTGTTCCAACCACCCTACAAAAGCAACATGTTGTTATGCATATTGTATATTGTGTGAAAAGGTCTTCACATGTTCTACATCAGGATCATGATCAGTACAAAAGAAATGCTGATATCGACACTTTGCTTTTAAAAACAAGTAAGACTAGTGATTTGGAGTTAATGTATCAGTGTAGCACAGTATTACAGTTATCTTTAACAGTACCCAGCCCTTCACCGAGATGAGCACCTTGGACTCATGATGTTCTGCTAACGTGCTGGAATGGGCATGTTCCCCTGTCATTCTTATGGCTTGTCTTCAACAGAGAGTCATTCACAGACATTAGAATGTCTCCAGAAGAACGGCACCATTGTCTCTGGTGTTTGACTGTGAGGAGACGACATTTGCTTGGTCTTAATTCTTGTGTGGTTACAAATCAGCGTCTCTTAGTGAGAAAATAGGTTCCTATTTGTAATTGCAAGTTGCATGACTTTATATACCTATAAATATTTGTGCATCTCCAAATGAGAAAAGTCACTGAATAGGTAGAATCTTTTCCAGAGCCTCATGTCTACAGTAGTAGTATAAGGTAATAGCTTTGTCTGCACAATACATTGTTATTGTGATATTAATCTGTGCAAGATTAATATCTCAAAAGCCTGCAAGATGCAAGTGAGACCTCTAACCAATCAGAGTGTGCTGTGAGCTTCCGGACCACTCGCAGGTGTTTTGCTGAATCAGAGTATTCACACAAGCCTCCAAAAGTACTTTATTTTGGTCAGTTATTGTTCTACCTATGCATTTTAAAGGTCTCCTATCATGGAAAACTCACTTTTTCTTGCATTTTCAAAATAAGAGTTTGATGTAGCCTTAAAGCTTCAAAGCATACCATTCAGTCCATACAGTCCAGGCTGTGAGCGTGGTGCATTTTAAATTCATTATTTTTGTGATGTCATTGAAATCAATGCATTTACATGAATCAGCCTAGTTAGTCTACAGCATTAGTTCCACCATTCGTGTTGAAGTTGCAGCCAGTGTTTCAGCCTAGACTGAGGTACAGGGCAGATAATTAGACAACAGAGATCATTTACATATATCAATCAGTACAAACAGCAAGAAAATGTAGGATATAAGCTCTTTAATGTAATACAAGGCATTTTAGCAATTTGCAGCAATATAATTACAGTATTAACATTCCATAATGTGCAGCCCTAATAGTAGCTGGTACTTCAAAATCTCTAAAGTTTTCACATCCAAATTTAACTCTGGGCTGAAGCAATAAGATGGACAAGGGCTCTTTTTATACCGACCCCACCCACCTACTCACTTCCAGTACAGCATACTTTTCACAGTGTAACTTAGGTCACCAGATTGTTCATGTGATTCTGCAATCTAATAAACATTCACTGGCGTTTAGATCAGCAGGTTTGTTTTAGGCTGCAGACAAGTGGAGACTGCTAACAGCGTACTTCCTGTCCCACCCTTTTTTTTTTCATCAGGAAGGTCAGTTTTCAATTAGAAATAGCCATGATCAAAGAGCTAAAGCAGCAGGCAAATGACAGTGTTGAGTGAATACTTAATAACACAGTGTTTAGTGCCTTCAGGCGAAAGGTTTGAAGCAGATGGAATTTACTCAAGCATTTGCGGGGGAGGCTGTATTAATACAGTGACTTGATTATGAATACAGTATGTGTATCTTGATACTGTTAACTCATCGAGCATTTTATTAGGAACACCTCCTTGTATCTACACACTGTCCATCTTATCAGCTCCACTTACCATATAGGAGCACTTCATAGATCTACAGTTACAGACTGTAGTCCATCTGTTTCTCTGCACACTTTGTTAGCCCTCTTTTACCCTGTTCTTCAGTGGTCAGGGCCCCACAGGACCACCACAAGGTATCTGGATGGTGGATGGTGGATCATTCTCAGCACTGCAGTAACACTGATGTGGTGGTAGTGTGTTAGTGTGTGTTGTGCTGGTCTGAGTAGATCAGACACAGCAGTGCTGCTGGAGTTTTTAAACACTGTACCCACTCACTGTCCACTCTATTAGACACTCCTACCTTGTCAGTCCACCTTGTAGATGTAAAGTCAGAGACGATAGCTCATCTGCTGCTGCACAGTATGTGTTGGTCATCCTCTAGTCCTTCATCAGTGGTCACAGGATGCTGCCCACAGGATGCTGTTGGCTGGATATTTTTGGTTGGTGGACTATTCTCAGTCCAGCAGTGACACTAAGGTGTTTAAAAACTCCAGCAGCACTGCTGTGTCTGATCCACTCAGACCCGCGCAACACACACTAACACACCCCCACCCAAATAATACCTACTCTGTGGTAGTCCTATGGGGTCCTGCCCTTTGAAGAACAGGGTAAAAGGGGGCTAATAAAGTATGCAGAGAAACAGATGGACTACAGTCTGTAACTGTAGAACTACAAAGTGCACTTACAGTAAGTGGAGCTGATAAAATGGACAATGAGCATAGAAACAAGAAGGAGTTCCTAATGCTTCAGATATAATTTGGCGACCAGTGAATGGTCTCTCTGGGTGTTTTGGGGAATGGGAAGTAGCATCTGAAATGACTTCTTAATTCAGAAAATTGTTTTTATAGTCAAATTTGTTCACTTACATTGTTCTTTTCTTTTGCAGTCCATGACATTAAAAGAAGCCATCAAGTCTTCTCTCACCATCCTGAAACAGGTTATGGAGGAGAAGCTGAACGCTACTAACATCGAGGTAATCTATTAGTGTGAAGTACTAGCTACACTATGACGATCTGTTAGCAAGAATAGCTAACACAGCTAGCACATAGCAACGTAACCGAAACACAAAGGTAGCTGCATCAATATCCATTAATATTGCTATTTAACTTTACATTTATGATGTATTTTTTTCTTTTAGTATATGTTTAAAGGGAAACTCCACTGATTTCCCATATATAGATAGCTAGGATATAAAGTCATTCAGTGGTTTAATGTGAAATGCTTCATTTCAGAGAAACTTCCTAAGTTAGAATTGTTCACAGTGGTGTTTATAGAAACCAGACGTCTGTAGAGTTTCATGCCTCTTATAGTGCACCAGTTCGCCTTTATCTCTGAGTGTCTGCTGTTCATGAGCGTGTAGGTTTTCCAATACGCGTATTTCAGATAATAAAAAGCCACTAATGCATATGATAGAGTGGATGTAAAGGCTTGTGTACACATAATACCATACGGTCCTGAAAGTTCTCTTCAAAACACTGTGGTTGTATGGTCTGCATTCCCAGCCACAATTAAGCGTGTCTAAAAAAAGATTCTAAACAGAGAACCATCATTAGCGGGCCTGTTTGGTCCACCAGCAGGCATAATTTGCATGTGGGAAAATCTAGCCCTAATCTCAATATCCTTCTGATTTTTATCTTTCACAGCTTGCTACAATAGAGCCAGGCAAGACCTTCCACATGTACACAAAAGAGGAACTGGAGGACGTCATTAAGGACATCTAGAGCGGTTCTGCGCAGGCCTGACTGATGTTCCGTTGGAGAATCCTCACGCAGCTCTGTGCAAATTGTCACCGAGTGAACAGTGAACCTGCTAGCAGCCTGGCTGCTTTTGAAGGTTTGCCTGTTCAGACCAGAGTCCACTCTTTATACTGTTTTCTCTTTCCTCTATCAATCCAGAATTGTTTCTACAGTTCTGTACAGGCAACAGAACATCAGTACTTGTAGTGGAGTGAAAAAAGATAATAAATGGGGGGGCGGGGGGTAGTTTTTTTGTTACAAATCAATACATTAATAAACTGTTGTATTCTGAAAGAACTGAGTCTTGTGTAAGTGGTACACATGTAGTGCTGTTTCTTTGGCCATGTTCAAACTGCCAGACCAGATGTGATTTTTGGCATATTCAGATAATATCCAGATTGATTTTTTTCTTAGTCTAGACAGCAAAAAAACACATGAAATCCGATTTCCCACTACATTTAGACGTGGTTTAATATATGATTACAGTCAGATTTCTACAGATGCGTCTCAATCCGGCCACTCAAAACGGATTTTAAAGCGCCTTTTGTGTCACGCGCAACATGACAAACAACAATGTCAAACCTGGAGTGACAGAAGTGCTGGGATTCAAGAAGAGCGCCAAAGATTTATGCTTATGCCAGAGAATTTGAAGAGTTTGGAGGACGAGAAGGAGGTTCATTATATAAAGTTATACCATCATATAAAGTTTATACAAACTGTGTGTGCATAGATGAAGCTTGCAGTCACATTTCTTGACAGTGGTGGTGATAGGAACCAGACGTCTGAAGAAAGTTGTTATAGGTGCTTATAGATGGTTATGTATACATACACCGATCTGGCATAACATTATGTCCTTGTTTCTACGCTCATTGTCCATTTTATCAGCTCCACTTACTATATAGGTGCACGTTGTAGTTCTACAGTTACAGACTGTAGTCCATCTGTTTCTCTGCATACTTTGTTAGCCCCCTTTTACCCTGTTCTTCAGTGGTCAGGACCCCCATGGACCCTCACAGAGCAGGTACTATTTGGTTGGTGGATCATTCTCAGCACTGCAGTAACACTGACTGATCACAGTGTAAAGGGTTCATATAGTTTAACAGAAGTTCAGAGGTTGATTCCAGTTGCATTTGATTGTTTCCTAAAGGGATCTAAAGGTGTCCTACAGGACAAGTGTTCTCTAACTTACTTACCATTAGAAAGCAAAACCATCGGGTTTTAATCCTAAGGGTTTGATGGTCTTTTTTCAGCAGGGTCATTTATTAATGATGCTTTTGAATCTGTTCCTATTGCTGTGTCAGTTAAGTCCATAACTAAGATTAAGTATGAAAACACTCATTAACAATTTCTGTGATGCAAATATTCCCCAAAAACTAAAAAGAGGGGACCACACACTGAATTTCAAAAGTAAAATATGTCTATTTATCTATGTAGAACACTTACTAAGAGAAATGTTTGACAGGACTTTTTTATTATTAATTACAGGAACATGAAACTGAAACAAAAGAATGGAGAAAAATAATCTGAACAGGTTAACACGTTCACACAAACACACAACCTCAGACTCAAAAGCTTAAAGAAAACCAGCAGGCTAAAACTAAAAGTTGAGAGAGTGTGGTGTGGGTGAGTGTGGTGTGGGTCTTCCCCCTCACCGCAGGCTAAGCAGTTATACCTTTATGCAAGTGATATGTAAATTAGACATATTCTACATATATAATTGCTGATTCATCCTAACCCAAAACTATTATACTGCAGACTTGTAGAGGCTCAGAAACACAAGTGAGTACAGGGCCATTGGTGAGATTCAGTCAACAAAGATGTGTCCCTCTTAATGACGTCAGCAAGAGTCACTCTCAGTCACCAAAGGCCTTGAAAGTTCCCAGTCACCTCTCACCCAGGACCCAGGAAAAACCCAGTTACCGCTAAATCTAGGCAAGATCAGTTCATTTGGATAAGTTCTACAGACTGAAGAGTCTTGTGCCCAAGAAGCTTCCCAGCATTCGATAGACAGACGGACAGACAGACAGAACATTTTTAATCCTGAACCGAAATTGCAGTGTTACAGTAGCAAGACATATAATTGCACATAAACTCACATAGATTATGCAGAAATAAAAAATTAGACACAAGTTGGAGTAAAGTATGGGAGAGTAGGAATAGAAGTATATATTTTTGCATATTTACATATATTTACATTATACAGCATATAAGACAGATGTATTGTTGTATTTACACCCTTAAACCCTTGAAAAAACACCTTTTTAAGTGTGTATATAGAACCTTTTTGAAAATGGTTCTATATAGCACCATTGTTGTCAGTGGTTCTTCTGTTGTCAAGCTTGTAACAATAGCAGAACCCTTTTGGTGCTATATTGAACCATTTTCAAAAAGCTTCTATATAGAACCATAAACAACACACTCTCCACCTTTCATGATGTAAAGAACCCTTTCATGACACAAAGAACCCTTTGATAATCCAAAGGGCTCTTTGAGTGTTCATGGTCCTATATAGAACCTTTACCTTTACCAAAGAACCCTTGAAGAACCACCTTTTTAAAGTGTGTATATAGAACCTTTTTGAAAATGGTTCTATATAGCTCCATTGTTGTCAGTGGTTCTTCTGTTGTCAAGCTTGTAACAATAGCACAACCCTTTTGGTGCGATATATATATAGAACCATTTTCAAAAAGCGTCTATATAGAACCATAAACAACACATTCCCCACCTTTCATGATGTAAAGAACCCTTTCATGATGCAAAGAACCTTTTAATCATGCAAAAGGATCTTTGAGTGTTCATGGTTCTATATAGAACCATTATCTTTACCAAAGAACCCTTGAAGAACCACCTTTTTTAAGTGTGTATATAGAACCTTTTTGAAAATGGTTCTTTATAGCTCCATTGTTGTCAAGGGTTTTGTGTTGTCAAGCTTTCGGTGCTGTATAGAGCCATTTTCAAAAAGGTTCTATATAGAACCATAACACATTCTCCATCAATTTGATGATCCATTTCACCATGCAAAAAAAAACAAAACATTTAAGCATGAAATGGTTCTATATAGAGCTCATGGTTCTAAGTAGAACAATTCCCTATACTAAAGAACCCTTGAGTTTGTGAGTGAGACAAGTTTGCTAGTTCATTTAGTTGGTGGGCTATTTCGTTTGTTATGGCCCCTTTGTCCTCGTTAACAGGGAGGGGAAGAGGTTGGTGCCTCACCGTCCAATCAGAGCCCGCAGCCTGAGCACCAGGAGGCAGTGGCTAACCCACTTTCCTAGCACTGCTTCGCTTTAACTCAACTTCACCTCGCCCTGGGGCAAGGTGTCTTGAAACGACAGGCGTATTGACCAATTGAAAACGAGCAACGGGTCAGCGCGGCCAATCACACGCGCGGATCTGGAAGAATGGGCGGTTTGAATCGACCAATCAGGGCTCGGCCCGCCCCCTACAGCCTGGGCATCGAGCATCAGTGTACACAACGGCCGACGTTCCTAGTTTAAGCGAGATGTCTCGCGGTGCGACCGTTGGAAGCGTCGTTGAGATGTCCAGTTCTGTCAAACTTTCAGTCATAAGTTTAGAGTAAATAATTCCACCTTATTTTGTTATTTAACGTAAATATGAAAACCGTGTGCTGGTGTGTTACGGTTTTATTGTCTTCTGTGGCGCTGTGTGCGGATTTTGAGGACGGAGGGCGGCTCGGTTGGGGGGCGCAGGCGACGTTTGCGAAGAGCCACACATGGAGAAACGCTCTCGGCTTTAAAGGCTCACCGCTGCCGCTGGCGGGCCACAGGAAGGTGAAAAGGAGCGAAGGGTCCGCTGGAGACTCGTGCGGCTCCCTGCAGGGCTATGAGTCCAGGCTAAAGGACAACACACATACTGTGAGTGGTGTTTACTCAGCTTTGGACTCTTTAGCGGTCAGAGGAGTTACTTTCACACTCGTTTCACTGCATTATGTGCAGCAGAATTCAACCGAATCTCCATTTCAGTTTAAGCTGAGAGAGTTTTGCTGTTTAAAGGGGAATTCCACCGATTCTTCAGATTTCCCAAGTCATTCGGACTGGTTCGATGTGAAGTGGTTCGTTCTAGAGAAAGTTAGAGACTCAGATTTCTTCACAGTGATGAAAGGAACCACAAATATACAACACAAATATAGCCATTTTATTTACTATCCAAAACTACAAGTGAACCTACACGTGTCTGAGTTTTATGTGTAATGTTGATGGTGGCAAAATAGTGGAAAATCTGAAACAAATGCGTTTTTTTTTCCAGGGACTATTTTGGCTCACAACGCCCTGCATGTACCCCTCCGCCATGAATAGATTAAAATAAATTGCTTAACAAGACGTTTTAGACCAGAACTTTATTACAAAACTACCGTAAAACAGTTTGTCAGGCATTAAGCAGTGTATTCATAACCATTTCCTGTAATAACTTTCTGTGAGGGAGCTTTTAGAGGCATTAAACTCTTCAGACGTCTGGTTGCTATCACTAAGAACCCTTCCTAAGAACCGCTCTGACTCAGTAAGTTTAGAACGAAATCACTCTGAATAACTTTGTTTACATCTTAACTATTATGGTATTAAGACATTTTGAAAAATTGGTGTTGTTCCCATTTAAATGCATACCATAGACTGTGAATTTTATACACTACATTTTTTTTTTTTTAACTAAAAAAAGTTTGGAGCTCTATAACATCTGTCTATCTGTCTGTCTGTCTATCTGTCTGTCTGTCTAACTGTTGGATAGGCACAATACCACTTTTTTCTTTGTCACTGTCTGCACTTTAAAACCTACTGAGCTTTAAAATGAGCAGACTGTCTGTCTGTCTGTCTGTCTGTCTGTCTATTTATTTATCTGGCTTTCTGTCTTTTAGAGATGGCACAATACCACTGTTTCTTTTCCAATACCGAAGTTGTAACCTTGAATATCGGCTGATGCTGATTGGCTATTTTGTCTTTAAAGGGCTCGTATAGTGAAAAACCACACCTCCCACACTTTTATGAAGTAGAAGAGTTTAATGTAATCTATAAACATTGTTCAAGTTTCAAAATGTACCGTTCACTCCTAATTCATATACGTTAACTGAGCTGCAAGAATAGCCTGCTTTGAATTCGCTGTATTTGTGATGTCACAAAAACCAGCTCTTTTACATGTGTCTACCTTTTCAGCCTACGAGAGTTTAGCGCCGCCCATTCACACATTATAAGCCCAGGCGGACACAGTTAAAGCAGCCAATCAGAACAGAGGTCATTTATGTATGGCAGTCTTGAAGGCACAGTAACAAAAACTTTTTTGGGATGGGTTACAGTGTTGGATTTGATTAATTTTTTTCTCCTCCCGACTGTCTAGCCTAGATTTTGCAAGATTCCACTGTTTCCTTTTTCACTGCCTACACCAATGACGCAACCTTGAGCTGTTTTTGCTCTAAGCTTTAAAATGCACAATGCATCTGTCTGTCAGTCTGCCTGTCTATTTATCCATCTGTCTGTTAGAGGTGGCACAACACACGTCAGTACCGATATGCCATGCCCACTATTCATCTCTGTGTCTGTCTGTTTCTTTTTCTGTCTCACTGCAGTGTCTCTGTTCACTTCTCTCGCCTGCTCAGTAGGTCTTCTTCCACACCAACTTTACCACATAAGAGCTTCTGGTTCAAAGCTGCTTAGTTGGATGAGCTACCCCACACACCAGTCCAACATTTTCCATACGTTTTTATAGGCTGAATCTCAAATGGCTCCCTACTCCCTGCATATTTCACTGTATAGGTCATGAAATAATGGCCTCTCCACCCAAACTGTGTCCGGTAGAGAGCCATTTGGGATTCAGCTTTAAATAAATGGATGGAAGGAAACCTGCAAATTATCATAACCTGCCAATAACTGATCCTGATAGTTTGACAGTGTGGGTTTGAGTGATAAGATCTGCCTGTATGGCAGCTTATTCCTGTGGGCATGTTTAGTCTGTGCAGTTAACTAGAACACTGATGACATTCCAGGTCATGCAAGCATCTCTTGACATGTATCAACTCAACCTGTGTAGTCGTGTTTAGAAATATGGGGTAATCGGCCACTGTGTTCCTTTTAAAACACACAAGACCTCATCTTTCTTCTGATCTGCTGGTTCCCAGTCATGGAATATCCCTTCTTTGCATAATCCAGTGTTTTCTCTTTTTGGAGACAAGCTAATGCAACAGAAAGAGGGCTTAATGATTGACTGATGTTTTGAATCAGGTTTGTCAGTGCACTAAAGCTTGGAGAGAATGAGTCTGTCAGTACACAGTGCTTTAAAGGGCCAAATCCTATATTTTTTTCCCTGTAGGTGCACTTTTGACTCTTTTTCTTATAGATTTATGAACCAAAAAATCACTTTTGCATGTCTTCCAACCTCTATTCATCCCTTAGAATTAATCAGGCTGTTTCTGTGCCTTTAAAACAGATGTAAAAGAGCTTAGTTATGATTGGCTGACCTGTATTGTGCCTCAATCAATACACTGTCCAGGCTGAAACGCTTCTTACTTCATAGGTGAATGGGCGGAGTTCCACTCATGCTAGTTGAATGAGTGAATATGTGTAAATATATAGGTTTTTGTGACATCACAAAAACAGTCGATTCAGAATGAGCTGTTTTTGCATGTTGTTTTCCATGGATGGAGTGGGGAGTGAACTGAAACAGTCATCAAGCTCTTATTTTCAAAAAATCTAAGGATTTTTTTTCATGCTATGGGCCCTTTAACTTCATCGATTTCTTTCAGAGTTTCTCAAACTGACCTTTGTTTGCCAAGTATGAACTTTAAACAGCTGGTTCTAGAGATAAATAGCATTTATAACCAGAGTAAAGTAAAAAACAAATACACTGTGGCCCTTGACCAACTACTTGCACTCCTTAAAACATCTGGCCACATGTGTGTAATTAGGCACTGACACTAAGGAATCAGGTGATTCAGCTTTGCCACAGCTGCATTCACATTCATATGGGAACATTACAAAGTCGTCCTTCAAAAGAAAGCAGTGTTTTAGATATTTGGGGATTGTTTGAATGGACAGCACAGTGCAAACCCTCTGTCTATTTAATGTCTAGTCAAAATGGACTTTAAGTACAAGCTATTCATTTTTCAGGAGATATTTCTGAGGAGATTAGATATGAGATAATCCGCTTGATGAAGGGGAAAGAGCTATGGAGAAAATGGGAAAAAAAGCTATGGAGAAAATGGGACTCCTGACAAACACCTGTAAGACCTGGTAGGCCACCAAAAACGTCTCCATCAGATAAACAGCACTTAACGCTTTCATCTTTGAGAGAGAGGAGAAAATCAAGCTGCTTCAGATCTGAAAACATCCACAGGTGTTTCTGTCCATCCTTCCACTGTGAGAAGACAACTCAGCGCTATGGGTCTGAAAGGATGTGTAGCTGTCAAGAAGAACCTCACTGAGAAAAGCAAACAGACAGAAGAAATAACGTGTAAATCTAAGAAGCTTTTGATGTTCTCAGAACAATGGATAGACCACCCCAGATTCCAGACCTCAACATCACTGAATGTCTTTGGATGATGAGAAGCAGAAAGTGCAACCAACTTCTAAGACTGAACCTGGGAGGTGTGGAAAAATATCCGTGCAGATTTCTTTGATAAACTGAAAACAAGTCTCCTGAAAAGAATGGAAGCTGTAATAAAGGTGAAGAGTGGACACATTAAATCCTGGGAAAAATGATATTTAGATGAATTAAAATAAACAAAAGGTGGTCTCTGACTTTCACACAGTACCATATCTAAGCAGTGTTTACAGTTATGCTGTTTACTGGTGCAAATAAATCATTAGGTCTGCTAAGTGACTGCTTTTAATGTCTTCAGTGTAGAGCCATTTGCCAACGTGCATAAGTAACGCACTGATGTGCACAATGAAGCTGTTGAAACTGGATGACACCTCTGACGCTCCTGCCAGCAAAGACCAAAATCACAGTGCAAAAAAAAAAAGTTGCAAAACAGCGTGAAGTAGCGGCAGGAAGCACTCAAGTGTGAAAACATGAGCAGCAAACATGGTGCAACGTGACCATGCCTCAGATGCAGTCTGAGATTGCTCATTAGCTTGATCCACAGCTGAGATTTTACCTGCAAAAAAAAAGTTCTTTTCCTGCTCATGTTCCTGTTTCTCATTCTCTTTCTGTCCCCTGTCTTTAGCTCTTTCTATCCCTCCTTCGTGTTGATTCAATTAGCCACATTCTTCCAGCATTTCTGCCTGACCTGACCTTTCCCTCTGCAAAGATGCATTAATAGTGCAGGCATTGTGAGAAAGCGGTGATGAGCATACTCCGTGCCAAGTAAGGTCTATGCCGAGCGCTTTCTGTTTGTTGAAACAGCAGTGAAGCTCGATGCTTTATTACTCCAGGCAAATCCAGAACATTCTGCAAGAAAGCACGATGAAGCTTAGCTCAGCGCCAGTCATTGAGGAGTGCAAGCGGAGCCAGTTCTTTTATGGTCGGCCTATTGGCTCACGCTGCCTTGTATTCTTTCTGGCAAAGATGAGTGGCAGGCTGACAAATTCTTGAAGCTGTAGAATTGGCCTGAATGTACAGTGGATGTCTTTATTAAGGGGGGCCTACAGCTTTGCTTGTATATAGATCATCTGGGGTTGCACAGTATTATTCTCTTAATTGTTATCTCAGTAACATTTTTGCAGTACTGATATCGCAATATGATATCACAATATGCAAATGAGTCCTGTAGCTAGAGCTGAACAATTCGGGGAAAATATCTAATTGTGACTTTTCTGACTAATATTGCAAGTGCGAATTCAGTTATGATTATTTTCTATAAATGAAGGTTCAGGCCTGTTACTTTTGGCCAATAAGACCAGAATATCCACTTGAGGCTTGATCCCAGAAA